TGATGCCAGGTGTCAGGGTTCGAATAGAGTGAAGAGGGTGTCCCTCTGTCAGGGCAGCCTGGTATGGGGCCTCTGAGATGGTTGTCCCCACGGGGTGGAGTTGGGAGCAGCAGCCCAGTGCCAGGAGTCAGAGTGCCTGCTGAGGGGAAGCTTGGCAGGGTGTCGGAGGCACAGCAGGGTGAGGAAGGTACCAACACGGATAGAGGCAATGCACGGCAGAGAACCTGAGCCTGTGAGGGTAAAGAAGGCATCAGCAGGGTAGATGCAAGACTGGGTACATACAGGCGAACTGGTCAAATTATGTAAGCATCTAGGGAGAATGGGAACCAGGTTAATCAGGTTTGGAGAAGGTCATTACAAATATGGAAAGAGGGAGTAAATTAGAATTAACCTGTATATTGGATTGACATAGAAAGTAATAGCACAAACTCAAGTTCAAAATATATATATCGATAGATATAAAAATAAATATGGATGTATGTATGCTCAAACACGTACATGTATACATATGTAAATACATGCATATATATATTTAGCAACATGCATTAAATTGCCTGAGATCAGTGGCATCCCAATAGCAATGAGTATTTCTAGGGCCCAGGTATTGGCTTCTAAGTTCCATTTTCCATTAAAGGGAACCAGGGGAATAACTGATTCCCGGGCTGGATAGGAAAATACAAGATAAACTCGGAACACCTTGTAGTGCCAAAGTGCTCAAAGAATGATGAGGGCTTGTCAAAAGAACACCAAAATCAACATAAATGGGACTCCCGAAGGTCGAACTGGGGATAACACAAGTATCAAAATAAAGATTGTAGGGCCGGGTGTGGTGGCTCACACCTGTAATCCCAGCACTTTGGGAGGCCAAGTTGGGTGGATCACCTGAGGTTGGGAGTTCGAGACCAGCCTGACCAACATGGAGAAACCCCATCTCTACTAAAAATACAAAAAATTAACCAGGCATGGTGGTGCATGCCTGTAATCCCAGTTACTCAGGAGGCTGAGGCAGGAGAATCGCTTGAACCTGAGAGATGGAGGTTGCGGTGAGTTGAGATCACGCCATTGCACTCCAGCCTGGGTGACAACAGAGAAATTCCATCTCAAAAAACAAACAAACAAACAAAATTGTAACAGATTATAATCCATAAAAAAACAGGAAAACGTAAATCCATATAAAGAGAAATTAATAAATGGGAAGCTGGGTTAGGAATTGGATATTTACGTAGTGTTGAAGTACCACCCCACAAAATATTTCTGAATTTTCAAAGGGAAAATAACTGTAACTGCAGTAGAGAAGACCTGCTCATGCTACCTTAATCAAATGATCAAATTACACCAACAGGGCATGGTGGTGCACACCTGTAGTCACAGCTACTTGGGGGCTGAGGCAGAAGAATCGCTTGAGCCAGGAGTTTGAGATTGTATTGTGGTATGACCGCACCTGTGACCAGCCACTGCACTGGGCAACAGAGCAAGACCTTGTCTTCAAAGAAATTTTAAAATAACACATTTTTAAGGTGGAAAAGAAATGTCACAGAAAACAAATTACATCATCAGTACTGGGACAAATTCAAATCCTATGTCACCTCTGACAAGGCACTGAGAACACGGCATCAGTTCTGTGCTATTCCTCCCAAAGACGAAGAACCTGGGTCTAATCATGAGGAAACGGCAGATAAATCCAAAGCAAGAACATTCTAGAACATAAGTGTCCTGTGCTCTTCATAAGTGCCAAGGTTATGAGGGTCAGGAAACAACCGAGGAAGTGTTCCAGACTGAAGGAGACTAAGAGATCAACAACCACATGCCACACATGACCAGTTATCAAGCAATCAACAGAATATGTGTGGGGCTGTGGATTAAACACTAGTAACCCATCCATGTAAACATCCAGGTTTCGATGTTTGTGCTGTGATTCTGTGGAAGAATATCCCCATTTGTAGGAAATACACACAAAAGTCTTCAGGGGTGATGGAGCATCCAGGTTATCAATGAACTCTCAAATGGTTCAGGGACAATAAGATTCTTCATTGTCTGAGTTTTGACTGTTTAAAAATAAAAAAGCTGCTGGACAAGGTGGCTCACACCTGTAATCCAAGCACTTTGGAAGGCAGAGGCGGGAGGCTCACTTGAGGGCAGGAGTTCGAGGCCAGCCGGGCCAACATGGTGAAACCCTGTCTTCACTAAAAATACAAAAATTAGCTGGGCGTGGTGGCTCGTGCCTGTAATCCAAGCTACTTGGGAGGCTGAGGCATGAGAATCGCTTGAACCCAGGAGGCAGAGGTTGCAGTGAGCCAAGATCGCACCACTGCACTCCAGCATGGGTGACAAAGTGAGACTTTGTCTTGAAATAATAATAATAATAATAATAATAATAATAATGTACAAGGGAAGGAGTATAGACTGTCCCAAAATATTTTTAAGTACCTTCATTTAATCTACTGTGTTTTCCATGCATATTTGTAGCTTAGCTGTATTCCTGGCTCAAATCATTTTTTACTAGAGTCAGTCTTCATAGGTGTTTTGTAGTATTTTAACTTAGAATGTAAAATTTTAAAGTAATACATATGTAATAAGTATGTAATTTATATAGCAATAAAATTTCCATATCATTGAAAGTAATTGCCGTAATATAATTAGCAGACCATTTTGTAGTAATTTCTCACAGGTCTGTGTAATACTTTGTGGCTTATTAATGATAAATGAATATTAGCTATTAAAACTGTATTTGAGCTCTTTTTTATTCCACATATAAGTTAGATCATGAAATATTTTTCTTTCTGTATCTGGTTTATTTCACTTAGCATAATGTCCTCCAGGTCCATCCATGTTGTGGCAAATGGCAGGATTTCCTTCTTTTTTTAAGGCTGAATAATATTCCACTGTGTATGTCTCTGTGTATATATATACATACATACACACACACACATATATATACACACATACACATATATACAATATGTATATCACATTTTCTTTACCCATTTGTCCATAGATGGGCATTTAGGTTGTGTCCATGTCTTGACTATTGTGAATAATGCTGTAATGAACATAGGAGTGCAGTCATCTTTACGAGGTGGTGATTTCATCTTTTTGGGGTTTATACACAGAAGAGGGATTGCTGGGTCATATGGTGGTTCTATCTTTAATTTCTTTAGGAACCTCCATACTGTTTTCCATAATGATTGTACCAATCTACATTTCCACCAACAGTGTACTGGGGTTCTCTTTTCTCCACGCCCTTACCAGCATGTATTATCTCTTGTCTTTTTGATAATAGCCATCCTTACAGGTGTGAGATGATAGCTCATACGGTTTTAATTTACATTTCCATTATGATTAGTGATGTAGTGTACATTTTCATATACCTGTTGGCTATTTTTGTGTCTCTTTTAGAGAAATGTCTGTTTAGATCCTTTGCCCATTTTTTAATTGGGCTTTTTTGTTTTCCTACTACTGAGTTGTAAGAGTTGTTTTAATAAATTTTGGTTATTAACCCTTTATTAGATATGTGGTTTGCAATTATGTTTTCCCAGTCTATCGTTTGCCTTTTCATTTTGTTGATTATTTCCTTTTTTGTGCAGAAGCTTTTTAGTTTGATGTAGTCCATTTATTTATATTAGCTTTTGTAGCCTAAGCTTTTGGTGTGATACCCCAAAAATTATTGCCAAGGCCAATGTCAAGAAGTTTTTTCCCTCTATTTCCCTGTATAAGTTTCATGATTTTAGGTCTTACATTTAGGACTTTTTTCCATTTAGAGTTGATATTTGTGTGTGGTGTAAAATAAGGTTCCAATTTCATTCTTTTGCATGTGGAAATCCAGTTTTCCCAGTACCATTTATTGAAGTGACTATCTGTTCCCTATTGTGTCCTTTGGTGTCTTTGTCAAAAATTAGTGGACCATGTATGTTTGGATTTATTTCTGGGCTTTCTATTCTGTTCCATTGGTCTATGTTTCTGTTTATGCCAGTACCATACTGTTCTGATTACTATAGCTTTACAATATACTGTAATTTTAAATCAGAAAGTGTGATGCCTCTAACTTTGTCTTTCTTTCTCAGTATTGCTTTGGCTATTCAGGGTTTTTTGTGGTTTTATATGGATTTTAGGATTCCGTGTTTTATTTCTGTGAATAATGCAATTGGAATTTTGATAGAGATTGCATGAAATCTGTATATAGATTTGGGTAAATGGGCACTTCAGCAATGTTAATTCTTTCCATCCATGAAGATGAGATATATTTCCATTTATTTGTGTCTCCTTTAATTTTTTTCATCAATTTTTATAGTTGTTAGTGTACGAAGCTTTCACCTTCTTGGTTAAATTTATTCCTAGGTTTTTAATGCTATTTTAAATTTGAATTTTTTATTGATTTCTTTTTCAGCTAGGTTGTTCTTTGTATATAGAAATGATACTGATTTTAGTATATTGATTTTGTATTCTACAACTTCACTAAACTCATTTATTAGTTCTAAAAGGTTTTCTGTAGAGTCTTTGGTTTTTTCTACATATAGAATCATGCCATCTTCAAGTGGAGGTAATTCTACTTCCTTTTAAACTTAGAATGGCTTTCATTTATTTTGCTTGTCTGATTGCTCTCACCAGCACTTCAAGTACCATATTGAATAGAAGTGGTGAGAGTGGGCATCCCTGCCTCTTTCCAGATCTTAGTGGAAAAATTTTGGTTGTTTCCCCTTGATTATGATGTTGGCTGAGGGTTTTTCATAAACAGTTCTTACCATATTGAGAAACTTTCCTTTCATACCTAAATTGTTCAGTGTTTTTAATCAAGGAAGAACCCTGAACTTTGTCAAATGTTTTTTTCTGCATCAGTTGAGATGAGTATGTGGTTTTTATCTTTCATTCTATTAATGTGATATACCACAATGGTGTTTTATTTTTAATTTTAAGATATCATCAGTACATGAATCAGAAAAGCAGTTCTTTGTCTAGAAGCAGCTTACTTTAGAAATTGTTTGAGCAAAAAGGTCTTTCATTTATCCAACTTGACTTTTATTTCACAAAGCAAAACACCACACAGGCACCTCCCACCTAGCATTAGTTAATGCATTCTTGAAAGTCAAAAGCAACAACATAATAGTCTTTCCTCCATTATTTTAAAAGGGCAAATTTATCACACAGAATATGTCAACAGAAATGTATATGTCAATATCTAACCAACTTATAAGACAAACAAAAACAACGAAATGCCTATACGTTAGTGACAAACTCTAAAGGAATATAAAATGTTTAAAACATTGCTTCTCGATCACAAAACAATTAATACACTGTTAAACAACATTTGCTCTATATTCAACAGCAGGTGAAGTTTGCATGCATCGTTATATTAGCACTACAGCACAGCAAATAACATATAGCAATAAATGGTTTTCCTAGGGAAAATGCAAATGAAGATTACAATAAATTAAGAATATTACCTGTAATGTTACCTGCCAAGTAAGGTAGACACCTGGAACTGACAAAACTTGAGAAGCTACTGCTGCAGATGTCCCTGGATCCTGGTAAATCTTCAAAGGAGTTGGTGACACATCAGGATGAAAAAATTCCCCAGGGGATCTTGTTTACACTGAGAGCTTATGGGCAGACATTTCATTGTAGGGTATTATCAAGGCATGAGGCCATTCTTAAAAGCAAGACGTTCCATCCTATGGCTTCATATTAAGAATAGGGATAGCATTGCTTATACTATCTTAAACCAGTGATGTTCAGGGGACGATGTGATGCTCTTCCAGGTCTTCACTTTAATCTTCTTCAAACTCAGTGATCAATAATCCCTCACTATATATTTTTTAAAGAACTCTTTGACATCTTTTCACTACCTCTTCCAAGGTATCTGCTTTTGCAGGCATCACAGCTTTCCTGGGCATCCACCGGCTCTTCAGGGTCTTTGAAATCAGCCACAAATTGCAGGGCTAATTTTTTTCATAATCCCATGTTGTTTGTAGAAAGACTCTTCGCTATGGCTTCTCAATGATAGTGGAGGTTTCATCTGCAATCTGGGCCAGGACTGGGAATTAATTTTCATATAAACATCAGCTAAAATTTTTGTATTGAGAAATATGTACATTCTAGAAAAGTTGGGCTTAAAAAAATACAACAGTCTACTATGAACCCCATACTACTGTGGAAAGAAGCACTTTATCTCTGCCTTTCAGAAAATTGTTATAACACACTGACTGAATTTTTAAAAAGAAGGCAGTTTTATGCTACCCACCCAAGAAAAATGCCATAATAAGCAATAAATTGCCCATCATTGGAGTCAACAAATTAGTAATTTTTTAAAAATTTTCAAAATAACAAAGATATCTGTAATATTAAGTTTATCTTCTTAGTTGCGGAGCCTTGTGCAGTGCACAATATGAACAATTTTACATGGCAGCCAGTGATCAGATTCGTACATCGATTCTTGGCATTCCATTAAAAGACAGCCTTGCACACGGTAGCTGCTCAATAAGATGCTGACAGTCTGGCAGGATGGTGACTTCAAAGCCCACTTCCCTATTTCAGGCATCTTCCTAGTCCACTTCAATAATTCATTGGCATGTGCTATAGTCTGAATGTGTCCCCAAAATTCGTGTGATGGAGATGTAATTCCCAATTTAATAGTGTTCAGAAGTGTGGCCTTTTGGGGGGGTGTTTACAACATAAAGGCAGAGCCTTTGTGCTCCTCTTGTGCACTTCTGCCATGCAAGACCCAGTGTTCCTCTCCTCTGGAGGATTCAGCTGTCAAGACGCCATTTTGGGAGGAGGTACCAAGTCCTCACCAAACACTGAACCTCCCAGTACCTTGATCTCAAATTTCCCAGCTGCCAGAACTGTGAGAAATAAATTTCTGTTCTTTATAATTTATTCAGTCTCAGGTACTGTGTTATATAGCACGCTTAAATTTTTTTATAATCAGAAAATCCTGCAGAAATCTAAATCCATTTTCTCTTTCTTTCCCACAGAAAAAGTCCCATACAACATTCTTCTTCTCTCCATCAGGAAGTAGATTATGTCGAATTCTAAAACTCTGCTGCTTTTGATCACTATAACTCTTTGTTTTTCTCCCTACCTTAAGCCCTCTGGATGGTAAAGAGTTCTCTAACACTCATCCTGCTAGCATGTGCTATGATTCCACTTTCTCCTCCCCAAACAGTCAAGTTATGTGTTTCCCCTAAAGGTTGGTTTCGCAGTTTTGTTTGTTAACCTGGAAGGAGCCCTCAAACATTTACTTTGATTTGTGGAGCACTAATGACTACAAGAATTATGTGATTAGACTGATTTTAAGTGACATACATTTTTGAAGTTTTGGTTCGTTGAGTCTGGGATGAGAGGTTTGGGCCCCAGAGTCGTAGCTTCCAGACACTGATGGAACTGAATTCTAGAGCAGGGGGCCACGAACAACTGGTTTCTGTCTCCTCTAATCATCATGAAGAAATTTCTTTTTTTAAAAAAATCTCTATTTTCTCACTTTAGAAATAAATCCTGGGGTTTAGTGGTAAAAATCAAAGAGCCATATTTCTCTTTCAGAAAGTGTCCTGCAAAGCAAGGCTTGAAAGATAGCTCAGTGAGGTGTGGGAAGAAAATATTAGAAGTTTCGAATTAATTTAGAAGTTATATAGAAGTTTATTTAATTTTCATGTCACCCTTTTAAATATTTATCTTTTACATACCATTTATAATGCACACAATAATTTAGTACAGTCATGTAAGTAAACAATTTATAAATAAATATTAAATATACATTTTTATATATATATATACTTACATTGGTGGTATGTTCTCAATAAAAATTGCTTTTTGGAAAGAGAGTTACATAATAAAAAATGTTTGGAGATCACTACAATATGGACCCCAAGTCTCGTTTCTCTCCATCCACAATGTGAGTTGTTAGCATGCCTTTACCACCATATCCGCTCCCTGAAATATGCCCTCTACAGCAATTGGCTGTCATTCCCATCCGAGGCAGTCACTGCAGGCTGTGCTGAGATTACCTTGAGGAAAGGGGTGGACCAGGTGACTTTGCTATCTCACCTCTGCCTCCATCAGCAGTTCCACATATTGAAAGGCCAGTGTCACCCAGTGTTTGTAAACACAGGCACTGGAATCGGAATGGGCAGAGATTCCAGCTGCCCTCTTAATAGCTCCAGGCCCTTGGGAGAGTTGTGTGACTTCTCACCAAGGCTTAGTGCTCATCCATAACACGAAGATGAAAATAATGCATCCCCAGTGAGCTGTCCTAAGGATGATGAGGTAATGCCAGTGGGAGCTCAGCAGCTTTCAATAAGCAGAGTTGTTCTTAACAGTAGCGATTGAGATTACAGCTATTATTCCTCATAATAATGGAACCCATGGCTCCAGATGACTTTAAAGCAGTCTCTTTGCCTGGATACTCAAGATTAACCTGCTATAAAATGATTCCGCTCTGCTGTGAAGAATGATTCAGCCAGCTGCCAGTGGATTTCTTTGGAACCCTTTCTGAACGTTTGGGATTCTCCCTGGAGAAACTTTCTCAAGGAAGACAAAATGAAGTTATACTTTCTCTTCAAAGGAAATGGCAAAATGGTTAATTTTGCCAATTAATAGTGTGTTGGGCATAGAAGGTGCTCAACAAGTATCGTTTATTTGATAAATCATGGATTTTGAATGAAGCCTATCTCTTATATCTAAAAGTAACATAAATAGTAACAAAAATAAGAAAGGTACACTGGTGGCCAATGACATGTAGTTAACCTTATCCCTGCTCTATGAAGCCAAGAGCTTAATTAGATTTGAACGATTGAGTAGAATATGATTAAGAACAAACACCAACGACGTGCCCAAATGCTCAGTTTCTCTTCCTGTTAATTTTCTGCTAGAACAAAACAAAAGCCCCAGGGAGGTTTATGTTGCTACTGAACATAAGGGGGCCAAATCCCACACTAGGGAGCCTTGAGAGTTGTTTTGATTGTGGGTATGTGGAGTTATATGGAAGCACAAAGGATGGCTCACCATATGTTTGCAAATATATCTCAGTCCATCTACTAAGGTGCACAAGAAATATAATTTTAGTTTTCTGAAATGTGTTTAAATTTCTGTTTCAAATGCAATTTTGCCTATTATTATGGGGTGCATTGTGTCCCCCAAAAATTTATATGTTGAAGTCCTAACCCCTAAGACCTCAGAATCTGACTGTATTGGGAGATAGAATCATTAAGGAAGCAAGGCAATTAAAACAGGGTTATTAGGGTGGGCACTAATCCAGTATGGCCTGTCTTTATAAGAAGAGGTAGTTAAGACGCAGATACACACAGAACTATGACCATGTGAAGACACAGGGAGAAGACAGTGCTCTGCAGGTCAAGAGAGGCCTCGGAAGAAATCAACCCGGAGGCTGGGTATGGTGGTTCGCACCTGTAATCCTAGCACTTTGGGAGGCCGAGGCGGGCGGATCACCTGAGGTCAGGAGTTTGAGACCAATCTGGCCAACATGGCGAAACCCTTTCTCTACTAAAAATACAAAGATTAGCCAGGCATGGAGGTGGGCACCTGTAATCCCAGCTACTCGGGAGCTGAGGCAGGAGAATCATTTGAATTTGGGAGGCAGAGGTTACAGTGAGCTGAGATTGTTCCACTGCACTCCAGCCTGGGCAACAGAGCCAGACTCCATCAAAAACAAGGAAGGAAGGAAGGAAGGAAGGAAAGAAGGAAGGAAGGAAGGAAGGAAGGAAGGAAGGAAGGAAGGAAGGAAGGAAGGAGAGAAAAGGAAGAGAGAAAAGGAAGAGAGAAAGGAAGAGAGAAAGGGAGGAAGGGAGAAAGGGAGGAAGGGAGGGAGAAATCAACCCAGCCAACACCTTGATTTTGGACTTCCAGATTCCAGAACTCTGAGCAACTCAGTCTGTAAGACTCTGCTATGGCAGCCCTGGTATACTAATACACCTATGTTTCAGAAATGGTCTCTTTCAAATTGAGGGTCCTTCCCTTTGCCCTAAGGTTTTATTTCATTTGGGGGGTTGGTGTGGCGCTACTGTGTCAGGGCAGGAGGCAGGGAAGGAGATCATGGGCATTTGCCCCACAGGGTCATCCAGTTATGGCACAGTTGTTCCTAGGTCTGGCTATAGAATTTGCAACCTCAGTGCAAAAGGAAAATATAGGACCCTTTGATCAAAAAGCATGAAGAAAGCACTGATAAAGACACTAAAATAGAAAGCATTTTTCTTTCTTCTGGGGTCTCTCTCTTGGCTTGCCATGGTGTTTTTATTTCCTATTTAATGCTGCCCTAAGTAAAGAAAAATTTGAAACTTTAATCATCAGCATGAATTTTACCATTTATCTTTAGAGTCTGCAATGCTAGCTTTGAATCACTCATATGTGGACCCACCAGAATGACACAACTCAATCTCACAACTAGTATAGGCATATGGATTTTGTTCTTCACAGAAGGGTGGAAATCCTGCACAAAATGAACTCAACTGCTTTTATTTCGCTTCTTGATGCACACACATTCTACCAACACTCCTACCCCTGGCTAACTGATGAATAAGGAAGGGCTGCAAAGACAAGGAACTATGGGTTGCGCTATCTGTTCCTTTCCTTCTATGTCACCATTCTCAGCGTAAGTGATTGGCTGAGCCTGGGAAGTAACAGGAGCGTGGAAGGATATTCTGAGGTTCCTGGTTGTTCATATTTCTGAGAACACCATTGCCTTCTTTCTGCATTTGGTGCAAGTTCTGGTGTGTGGGGAGCATGTGGCCTCTGAGGGTGGCCCATGCCCTTCTTTACTGAGTGGCAGATGTCACTCACTTTGCTTGTATTCACTGCCTCCCTCACATTGTCCTGGGTAACGCTGGGCTCATGGGCACCCTGAATGCTCCGTGCAGATGAGGAGGCTAGAAGTTCAGGACACAGCCGTCATTCTACCTCCTATGCTCAGAAACATGCTCCTCTGTCCCACTAACTTTACTCACAAAACACAAGTTCAAAGATAAAATCACTGAAAATCTCAACCCATCCACCACAGAGCACAAGACCCAGCTCTAGGCCCTC